CACCCCAATGCCCCCCACCCACTCTATCATAGCCTTTCTAAATCCATAAATGCGAAAAACTTCTCTACCTTTATCTAAATACTGTTCACATATATGCTTCAATGTAAACACTTGATCTACACATCCCCTACCCACTCTAAAACCTCCTTGCTCATCTGCAATCCTACATTCTGCCTTGCCTCTAATTCTTTCAATAATAACCCTACCATATACTTTTCCTGGTATACTCAGTACACTAATTCCTCTATAATTTTTACAATCTCTTTTGTCCCCCTTCCCTTTATATAAAGGAACTATATATGCTCTCTGCCAATCCCTAGGTACCTTCCCCTCTTTCATACATTTATTAAACAAAAATACCAACCACTTTAACACTATATCCCTCTACTTTTAACATTTCTGTCATGATCCCATCAGTTCCAGCTGCTTTACCCCTTTCATTCTACGTAATGCCTCACGCACCTCCCCCACACTCGCATCCTTCTCTTCTTCACTCCTAAAAGATGGTATACCTCCCTGGCCAATGCAGTTCACTATGTTATCATCAGTACGAATTCCTTCAAAAAACCATGACACAATAAATTTCTTCAAAACACCATGACACATAAGATACTATTAGTTATGTCTCACACTGCAATATTTATTTTATGTATCAATTTCTTAATTTACTATTAAGCTACTTTTTATGTTCAGAATACAAATACTATATATGATATTACTTTTAGTTTAATAGTGAGAAAAGATTTATATACTACTAACATGGCACTAATGGTTAATGCTCCCAAGTATTGTAACTAACTAGGATATAGTACATGAGAAATAAATGAGAATGGCTAATGATGTATTCTAGTTTTTTGAAAGTTCATGTCAATATTTGCATAACCCAAATGCTGTGAGAAACAAAACTGAGTTACTTGATGCTTCTATAAACTAATGTCTGCTATTTATTTCTACTGTAAAATTTACTCATGTTTTAAACACACACTGGCTGGAGATTTGCTGTCTGGAAGAAGCTCATCCAACTGCCTTCGTTTGTGTTCCACCTCTGTAGTGAGTTGCTTTACTCTTGAGGCCAGCTGCTGAACCTGCACCAGCATAGGTGTAACCCAGTGATGATTGAACTAGAAGTACCAGTGGGCACAAATTAACCATTATCATCATCATGTACATGAACAAGCAAACTTATTCTAATACACTCCACAAGTCAATCTTCACCATCAGGAATATATTTAATTGGTGAAATAAAGGTCTAAAAAACGGACAAAGAAAAAAAGAGGACAAATGAACTAATAAATATGAATCATTAATGTCCTAATAAAGACAGCAAAAATCTTAAAAGGTGCAATGAGCAATTAATAAGAGTAATACAGGTGTTAATGCACTTTGATAATCCCCTTCTGGTTAACTGATGCAGCCTCTCTTTTACCGTCTTTGTGACTTATAACTTTTTTGTTCATTATAAATGCTGTACAACATTATGAAGCTCAGCATGTACAGTACTTTGTAATAAATATGTACAAGAAATAACTCTAGGTAGTATAATTAAATGCAAATTGTACAGTGCTACATCTAATCTTACCTCTTGACTATTTTTTTTTTTTTTTTTTTTTTTACACAGGGTTTGACAAGGTTAAGGATCCATAGCTTTATTGACACGCTATTTACAGGTTAAGGATTCCTAACTTTATTGGCAAGCTAAGAGCTGTTACCTACATCAGCTCATTTGAAAGCATTTTTATTGTTATGAGACATACAAGTAGGGAACAGGATGAAGTTGGAGCCATCTGTGGGCCAGCATTTTCATTTGATCAACTGACTTTATCTCGTTGACATCATTATGCTGTACGAATGTGTTCCATACTCGAGTCATCCTGGGTATATAGGATCTCAGATGGAGTGAAGTTCTGGAGAAGGGTACAGCCAGAGTGAAGTTGCTGCTTTCTGCCTATTTTAATAAAGCTAAGATAGTTACCTAGAATTCTCCATGGGGAAAGGGAACAGAAATCTTTCTCTATAAGCCATGCGTGTCATAAGAGGTGACTTATATGCTGGGAGCAAAGGGCTAGTAACTCCTCCTGTATAAATTACATGAACTAAAGTTAAATAAATAAATAAATAAAATATTTATTTCTTTGCAAAGGTTACAATATGTGTTTTCATATCATAATATAGGTAGTAGGTTGGTAGACAGCAACCACCCAGGGAAGTACTACCATCCTGCCAGATGACTGTGAAACAGAAA